CAGGTCTCCAGCCCTGCTGTGGAGTTTGGAGGATGGAGGGGGTCCCACGCCAGGGACCAGGGTGGTGAGTCCTCCTTCCTGTCACAGTATTTATTTCGATGGGACAGAGGAGGGGCTGTGACCCCACACTGTAGGATCTCAAGTCCTTCGTAGACCTGATCAGATGGCCCCCATGGGGTGGTGCAGGGAGGGTACAGGTGGGTTCTGAGTTACCGAGGGTGACGTTATTGCCCACCTTCTGGTGGTGAGTGGTGTAAGTTGCATCCGCCGTAGACTGAGTGACTGGGTGTGCGGGGGCTGAGGCCACCTATCGTCCTGTGTGCATGGCCCAGTCCCAGCGGGGCTCTGTCATTGCGTGTCCCCTGAATGCCTGAAGGACCCAGCGTTGCTTGAGTCTCAGGCTCAGCGAGCTCCTGCGTCCCTCAGTGAGCCTGAGCCTCCTCGAGCCTGGCCGAGGCCCAAGTGACACCTGAACAGTCCAGGGTGTGACCCCAGTACCTCCCCCCTCCCCGGGAATAAAGTCAAATTGCAAACATGAGACATACTGGTGTTTGGGAATGGCAAGGAGGGGGTCTCCCGGGGACACCTGCCCCACTTTAAGCCTGGGAAGTAGTGTCCGGTGGCGGGAGGAAAGGAGACCAGCCTGAAGACACGTGCATGCCCAGCACGGGGACCGCAGGGATTGGCGGCATCCAATTGTGTGACCATCGCGTGGCGGGCCACATGCCGCATGTGGGCAGGAGAAGCAGGTCCCCGGGTGGGGCAGGCTCACAGCAGCCGGTAAAGGAGGAGCCCTCTGACCCGCCCTCTGTGGACATTGCACTGAGAACGTGATCAGGGCGGGTGGGCGGATGTGCAGGTCCCCAGGGATTTTCATAGACCCCCCCGCGGCCCTGGACTGCCGTGTTTTCTGCATCCATTCCAGCATCCTGCGTGACCCTGCAGGGCCGGTGGGGTCCTGGCGCCTTGGCTACTGGCTGGGAAGTGGCAGGAAGCAGGTGAATCTTAGTGTGGGGGCGGGGCGGGGTGGGGGGTCTGAACGGGGATGTAGGGCTGGGACAGGGCAGGGGTGCGTGGGGACAGCAGGTGCCCAGGGGCCCAGAGAGGGAGCCTTCTCAGAGCTGACCCCTCCCCGTGGGGGACTGAGCCCACCTGCTGGTGTTCCCGGCATGCAGCTTTAGCTCAGAGAGTCTCTCCTGCCTTCGTTCGGTCTCTCGTTTTCTCCTTTCCCTGGATTTGACTTCTTCACTGGAAAGGAAAAACGTGGGCACCACCGGGGTGATGGCGCAGGTTCTTCATACAGTTCGGGAGTAGGTGTGCAGCATTTCGTTATGCAAGTCAAGTCCAAGGGAGGCCCTCCCGGCAGGTGGGCAGGCCTGCCTTCCAGTTTGCCCAACGACCGAAGGGCGGGCCGCCTGTGTGTCCGCCTCTGGGGACACTGTCCTGCCCTCGCCGGGCTGTGCGCCCCCCACGAGCCCCGCCCCCCAGACGTGGCGCAGACTTGGGCTCTGGCCCTAAGCAGAGACACAGTCGCCCCGGCACAGAATCGGTTCTGCCAGCGGGAGAGCCACAGAGACGCATCGGGGGGTGGGAATTGGCACACAGGACCTGGTGGAGCGGAAGGAAACCTTCCTCCTGGGAGACCATCTGCGTCTTATTTTTCTGGCTTTGAAAGTAATACATATCAGGGGCACCTGGGTAGCTCCGTCGGTTAAGTGTATGACTCTTGGTTTTGGCTCAAGTCACGATCTCATGGTTGGGGGGTTCGAGCCCCATGTTGGGCTCTGTGCTGACAGAGCAGAGCCTGCTTGGGATCCTCTCTCTCTCTCTCTCTTTCTCTCTCTCTGCCCACACCCTGCTTGTGCTCATGCACTCTCAAAATAAATAAATAAATATTAAAAAGTAATACATGTCATTAGTGACAACTTGAGAGAAGGTGGAAACGAACAAGAAACATGAACGCTGCCTGGAACCCCACAACCAGAGACAGCCGTCGATGAACATTTTGGTGCATTTTTTTACTCCTCAAAGCGAACTCCTAACTTTCCATGCTGCAGGTTCACTTGGTTTGCCCTGCCCACCTGGCAGGGGTCGCTCCTGCTGGCCTGTCCTTGTGCTGTGGTCGCATCTCACACCTGCCCCGTTTCTCCAGGAGTGTCACCCTGGGATGAAGGCTCTCGGTCCCAGAGGAGGCCAGGGACTGTCACCGAGACAGGCCTGGCCTCTGCTGACTATGTTGCCTGTGTTTTTGCTCCTTTGGGAAGGGAAACTTTCATGAGATGCTTCTGTGCAGATCACAGCCTGAAAATGCCCCCCACTTCCGTCGAGCATGCTCTGGACCCTATTCTGGCAGACCCTCAGTGGCTGCCTGGGCCTCATGCCAGCAGCAGACCCTTAGTGGCTGCCTGGACCATGTTCTTACAGGCTCAGAAGCAGGAGGTATTGATTCATGCAAACGATGGGTCCACAGGTCCCTGGTGCTCACCTGCCACTGGACACCTGTCCAGTCCTTTCTCGGTATGGTGGGTGCGTCCTAAGGTTCTGTCCTGCCCCGAATCCGGCTCAGCAGCGGGGGGTGGGGGGGTGGGGGGGCTCAGTTGCAGGAGCTGCTGGTTTCTGGCGGGGCTGCCTCGTGCACCCCAAGGGTGAGGACCCCACTGTCGCGCGCACATCCATCGACAGCAACCCCCGAGTCTCCCTGAGCAAGCACCACCGACCAGGCATGAAATTAAGGGTGAACGAGTTAACAGATGTGATGTTACTATCCACGTGTGCTGGGGTCGTGCTCGTGAGCAAATAGGGGATGGACAGGGTGCCAAGGTAAAGAGGCGGGACAGCATCTGAAGAAGGGAGATGTCTGTGCAGGCAGGTGCGTACGGGGGCATGTTCATGAGTCAGGGAAACATCCCGTGTCTCTGCTCCGTCCTGGGCTGTCCTAAAGCAAAATGCAAGTAGTCTGACCCCAAAGTGGACCCCGAAGCCTGATAAGGGGTGAGGGGTCTCAGATCATAAAGTCCCCAGGCGCCTGCAGCCATCAGGGGGCCTGGCCGGGTCGGGTTCTAGCCACCAAGGATCCTCCGTGCGCCCTCGACGAGGGGAGGGCGGGCTCCGTCCTGGCCTCAGGTGCACCAAGATCCCTCCTGGGAGAAACAGGAAGTGAACAAAGGTAGGCGAGACAGTGGCAGGTTGGGACACTACACTCGGTGACAGAAGCCAGACGGCAAAGGACACGTGGTGTGTGATTCCGTTTATAGGAAATGTCTGGAACAGGCCAGTCCACAGAGGCTGCCGGGGGCTGAGGGAGGGGGCGTGGGGCTTCCTTTTGGGAGATGAAAATGTTTTGGAACTAGAACAAACAAAAAGTGAAAGAAAATAGGAAGCACCCTTAGAGAAAGTGTGGTCGGGTCTTAATTAAGGTCTGTGTGCTCGCTGCAGTAAAATCACCTGCAGCCCACGTGTCTCTCTGTCAGGCTCCCCAGGGGACGAGCCACCGGGCGGAAGATTCCGGAAGCTCAGCCTCGGGCAGTATGACAACGATGGTGCGGGGCAGCCGGCCTTCCCCAAGTGTGGATGGGGAAAGACCCCGGGTGCGGAACAGGCCGTGAGCCTGGCGCCTTTCCTGTCTCCGGCGGACGCCAAGGAGGTACGCACCGCCACCTGACAGCGGGACCTGCACACTTCCCGATCGCGGTCCTGTTGACACCCCAGAGTCCCTCCTGTCTCACATGGGGTTCCTCCCGGAAGAGCAGGGGGTGTGGTCGGGAGAGCCCGGGTGCACGGCCCTCCCCAGAGGGCACGGCGTGGCCACCGTAGGCTCCTCTGAACCTCTGCGCCCTGACTGCACAGTGGGGTGAGATGGGAGCGGGCAGGTGGCTGAAGGTGGACGGCGGTGGCCAGGGGCACACAGACTCCCCAGGAGGGAAGCAGGAAGGAAGTGGGTCGGGGTGGGTGTGGGGCCCCGTGGTGGGATCCATGGAGCATCTTCCAGGGGGGTGCGGCTGAGATATTGCAGGTAGACGGGTCGGAACCCGGTACTCTGAGCCCTCCCCTTCTGTGTCTTCCTCCTCGTCGGGGGTTGGGGGGGGAAGATTGGAGCCCAGAATAGACCAGAAGAGAGACGTTGGGGATGAATACTTCCAGACTGTTCTCTGTGCCGTGGGTGTGTCTGTGTTCTTTCACGTACCCACCGGCACACCACAGGTAGCGATGATTTTTTTCCTGTTTTTCCCCCGAGAGCCCGCGTCCCCGAGCTGAGCCATCTCTGCCAGCTCCGTGTGTCCGGGGGTGGACAGGCCGCAGGGATGTCCCTCTTCCTTCATGTTACTGAAGCTCTTCCCAGTTTTCCGTGGCCGCCAGTGGCAGGGCTGTGCATGGGGACGCAGCCTCCTGTCCCCGCACGGTGGGCCAGTCCGGGCCCGCCGTCAGGAGGTGGCCTTCACCTGACTCCCTGTGCCAATTCCAGACGGTGGCTGCCGCGTACCCCCCAGACCCCGATGGGATCAGTGGCAGGAACTTCTCTCCAACCAAAAGCGGCAGTGACTCACCCTCTCCCACGCCCGCGTTTCCCGTGTCTGCGGAAACACTGTATGGTAAGAACTGAGCCAGGCTCGTGGTGGGCAGGGCGCCCCGTCAGGGAGGATGCGGCCACAAGGGCTCCGCTCTGCTTTCTTTTCCAGTGACGACGCCCCCGCGTTATGCGCCGTTCAGCCCGCCTGGGTCGCAGACGGGCAGTGCCAGCGGTCTGTACAGAGGTGCTCACGGTAAGAGTCTGTCTTCCCCCCGCCCGGGCGACTCACGCAGAAACCTTTTCGCGGGTGTCCAATCTCCGGAGCCTGGAAAGCGAGGAGGGCTGTCACTGTGCTGTGCAGATGCTGGGGGCTGACCACCACCTGTGTCCTGTGGGTGCACGTCTGCGGTACATCCCGGGTCTGCCACTCGAGCAAGCTGGGAGGGGCGGTGGGCTCTGGGGCGGAGAATCCCTGCTTCTCCACTCCTCTCTGCCCAGAAGCTGGAAGAAGGCCTGCCCTTTACAGAGGAACTGGGGCCCCAGGGCCGGGGAGCTCCCTGCTCCGCATCACGGCCGCCTGCCCGAGACCCCCAGCCGCTCTCCTGGATCTTCCCAGGGGAGCGACGGCTGTCGGGAGGGGTCTGTCGCAGCCCCCGAACACTTACCATACGCAGCGCGGTGTTCAAGTATGACATGTGGGCCCCAGGAGGGAACGGTAGCTGAGCAGTAGTGAAGGGGCCACTCCACCCCTTCCTGTGGACACCCCCCCACCACTTGTCTTGAGAGTCCAGGACGGGCTGACCTCAAGCATGACCTCAGGCACATGGAGAGGGGCTATAGTTAGAGCCCAACGTCCATTTAGTATTATTTTTTAAATGTGTGTTCATTTTATTATTTAAAAATTTTTTAATGTTTGTTTATTTTTGAGAGAGAGACAGAGCATGAGCGGGGGAGGGGCAGAGAGAGAGGGACACCCAGAATCCGGAGCAGGCTCCAGGCTCTGAGCTGCTAGCACAGAGCCCGATGCGGGGCTCGGACCCACAAACAATGAGATCATGACCTGAGCTGAAACAAGACGCTCAACGGATTGAGCCCCCCAGGCGCAGTTGAAAATCTTTCTTCTCTGTGAGTGTGGATTCCTTTTGCTGGTTTTCTCCTGCGGAAGAAGGCTCCCTGAATGGTCGTCTCGCACAGTTTTTGGGAAAGCACGTAACTCCCGCCTCCTTCCCCAGCAGTGTTGTCGTGACGACAGCCGCCCCATCCTTCCTTTCCTAGAGAAAACCAGATCTGTGCGTCCTTTAGAGGAAGGGCTGTCCTTCTCCCCAAGTCCCCTGTGGCTCCAGGAACATACTGTGTCTCTGTCCGCGCAGAGCCCCGCGGTCACACTGCCCCCTTTCCTAGCAGGTGGGAATAAAGCGCGGAGTAGGGAGAGGGTGCGCGGTGCTGGTGCACGTGTGTGTTCTGTAAGCGTCATGCGGAGAAGTCTGTTCTGTACTGGGACGATGTAGATGGTGGCAAACACAGGGACTTCGTTCCCACCTCCTCCCCCACCAGCCCACCACGACCAAAGGCTGATGTCGGTGTATCGAGACCAGCTTTGTTGGAGACGTGCTGGTGGCGGCCGGGGGGTGTGGATGATCAGCCCGAGGACAGAAAATGCCGGAAAGAAACTTCAGGTTGAGCAGCAGCCCCTGACTTGGCCTCTGGGGTCCCTGTGTGGAGTATCAACCCTTCCGGAACTTGAGAAAGGCCCGGAGAGGGGAACGGTGTGGGTGGGGCCGGTGGGGCCGGTGGGGCCCACGGCCCCACGCAGCCAGCGCACATTCAGCATCAGCGTAGCTAGCGTGTCGTCCTAGTGCCTTCCGTGTGTAAATGTCCCCGTGGGAGACGTAGGGCTTTGATTTCAGATACAAAAAGCGAACGCGTTACAGGGAGTGTATTTCATCCTAAGAACACCTGTGAGTCTTCTGGAGTTTTCGTCTGGCTGTCCTGACGCAGTTGGTCCCTCATTCTGGGCGGTGGGTGACTCCCCTGGGTGATGGGTGACTTCCCCGGACCACGGGTGGCTCCGTGGTGACTGCACTAGCTCATGCGTAGTCCACGTTGGCTCTGTGTTCTTCCCAGGGTGATTTCTCTCACGTTGTGGTCACATGACGGGGCCGTCCTACTCACAGGTGAGGAAACTACACAGAGAGGTGAAGCGCATCCCCCTGAGCCACACAGCAGACACAGGTCCGCCTCACTCCCCAGCCGGGGGCTTTTGATCCAGGGTGTAGACAGGATCCAGTAGAGTAGACAGGATTCGGTTTTCACTTTCCTCAGCTAGACCAGGAGTGACTTCGTGTCAGTGCTAGGAAAGCACAGGGATGGTCTCAGGGGGCTGGGATTTGAGTCCTTTCATCGAAGAACCATGCCTCCGACTCAGCGCCCCTCTGAGCCTGTTTCCTCATCTGCAGGTACAACAGTGCCCCGTTTGGGACCAGCGTGCCGTGTCGGGGTGGAATCTGCCAGGCAACTTAATGCCTGCTTCTGTGTCACTTATAGCCAAATGCCACTGTGTGGACACACGAGAGGATTTGCTTTAGATCCGCATCTAGAGGGTGGCGCTGTCATCCTTGCATGGACTAGATGTTGTTTTCCCCGTTCCTCCTGCAAGGTGAGACTGCACACCTGGCGGTCTGTGTGGAACAGGTGCCAGAGGCTGAATGGTGGGGGGAAAAGGCAGACTGACCATGGGTACTGGGACCACGGAACCCGAGGGGACCGCATCCTGGGATGTGAAATCACAGAGCCAGAAGAAAGCGTGCCATGCTTCCTCCCGGTAACGGGAGAATTCCCAAACGCCTGGAAATGAAGCAGCCCGTAATTCGTGGGTCCAAGAGGAACTCTCAAGGGAAATCCGAAAGCATCTTGACCTGAAAACAGCAAAAGTAAAACATTTCAAAATTGGTGGGAGAGACCTCAAACACAGTGCTGATGGAAAAGTTCACGGCCATAAACATACCCGTTGTCTGGAACAGGTATGTTTGAACTCCTGCCTCCAGGACCCCAAGATGGCCAGAGGGGAGAAAATAATACATATAAGCAGAACCAATGAAATTACAATAATATAATAGAAATATGTAATATAAGGTCAATGAAGTTACGAACAAGGAAATGAGAAAAAGTAAATGAAAAAAAGCGGGTTCTTTGAGGAGATCAGGAAAGTTGACAGATCTCTCTAAAGACAGACAAAAAAGGGGGAAGCACAGATTAGTAATGTCAGCAGTGAAGGGGGGGCCTGTCACCGCAGACCCTGCGGACAGGATTGGGACAGTGGCTCCATACCCAGGGGTTAGTGGTGAGCACGTGTGGTGACCACTCACCCAACGTGAAACAGACAGTATGATGCTGTGTAACTATCAAGGAAATTGAATTTGTAATTTACACATTTTCCCCCAGAAGAAATCTCCCGGCCCTGATGGTTTTACTGGAGAATTGTACCAAATATTTAAAGAACAATTAACACTAATTTTACACAACCCCTTCTAGAAACATAGAATTCGTTCTATGAAGACAGAGTTACCCTAGTACCAAACCCAGACACAGACAACAAAAAGGAAAAGATAGACCGATATCCCTTATGAACAGACTCAAAATCCCTTAACCAAACATGAGTAAATAGAACCATAGTATATATAAAAAATTACACACCTTGACCAAATGGGATTTATTCTAAGAATGCAAAGCTCCTTCAGTATCCGTCAGTGTAATCCATCATATTTAATGGATAAAGAAGAAAAATCACATGTTATATTCGTAGATGCGAAGGAAATTTTTTGGACAAAATCCACATCTGTTCATGACTATAAATTCCCAGTAGAATAGCTCAGAGGGGAGCTTCCTCAGCCTCAAAAAAAGAATCTAAAAAACCCTGCAGCTTGCACATAATGCTGGAAATTCTACAGGGGGCATTGTGCAAGAAAAGGAAATACAAGACAAGAGTGGAAGGGAGGAAATAAAACTGCCCGTTCTTGCAGATTCATGATTTATCTTTGTGGAGAATTCCCAGGAATCTATAAAAAAATCTCCCAGAACAATTAAGTCAGCTGGTTGCAGGGCACCAGAGAAACACACAAAAATCAATTATATTTCTATATACCAGCAGTGAACGTGTATAGACCTCAGTTAAACATACAGTGCTATTTATAATAGATCGAAAAAGTGAATACTAAAGCGTAAGCCAAAGAAAACATGCAAGTCTCATATGTTGAAAACTCCATGGTGTCGGTGAAGAATAATCAAAGAAGATATACATAAGTGGAGAGAAATACCGTGTTCATGAGTTGGAACACTCACCCTGGTGAACATGTTGGTTCTTCTCAAACTTATGTACAGTTTTAACACAATTCCTACAAAATCCAAACAAGGTATTTTTTGTAGATCTAGGCAAGACAATTCTAAAGCTTATATGGAAATGCAGGGGAACTAGGATAGCTAAAATAATTTTGATGTTTATTTATTTTTAAGAGAGAGAGAGACAGAGCGTGAGTGCGGGAGGATCGAGAGAGAGGGAGACACAGAATCTGAAGCAGGCACCAGGCTCGAAGTCATGAACTAAGAGACCATGACCTGAGCCAAAGTTGGACGCTTAACCGACGGAGCCTCCCAGGCGCCCCAGGATAGCTAAAATAATTTTGAAAAAGAATAAAGTAGGAGGCATGGGTTAACTAAGTTCTAGACTTTCTGGGTCACCAGAAATCAGGACTGTGTGGTGTGGGGTGGGGCGTGGTACAGACACAAAACCAGTGGAATGGAATAAAAAACCCCAAAATACACCCCACAAATATGCCCAACTGATTTCTTTTGGAAAAGGTGCAAAAGCAAGTTCAATGAAAGAAAAACTGTCCTTTTCACAAATCTGTAGCCACTGGGGACCCACAGTCAAAAAAAAGGTGGGGGGCATGCCTGGGTGGCTCAGTCAGTTAAGCCTCCGACTTCAGCTCAGGTCATGATCTCACAGTTGGTGGGTTTGAGCCCTGCATCTGGCTCTGTGCTGACAGGTCAGAGCCTGAAGAAGGCTTCGGATTCTGTGTCTCCCTCTCTCTCTGTGCTCCTCCTCTGTGCTCGCTCACTCTCTCTCTCTCTCTCTCTCTCTCTCTCTCTCTCAAAAATAAGTAAACAAACAAACAAAAAAAAACCCCAAAAAGAACATCAACCAAAGTCTTGTATCTTATACAAAAATTAACCTTAAATGGATCACAAACTAAAATATAAAACTATAAAACTTTTAGGAAAAACAAATAGAAAATCTTTGGGATCCCAGGCTAAGCGAGAGTTAACACTCAGAGCACAAAAGGGAAGATTGATAAAGTTAGACTCCATCAAAATTGAAAGAGTTTGCTTCAGGAAGAGACTGCTAAGAGGTTGAAAGGGGAACAGCAGACTGAGAGAAAGTCTTTGCCCTCTACATACCGAGAAACAACGTGATCAGAACGTGGGTATAAGCCCAGAGACCCCTCACTGAGGAGGATGGACAGACAGCAGATAAGCATGTGAAGGACGTCCAGCGCCATGAGCCACCAGCGAGATGCTAGTGTAGACCTCGGGATCACTACGGACCTAGCAGAATGGGAAAAGTAAAAAATAGCATCAGCACCAAATGCTGGTGAGGATGTGGAGAAATGGGAAGTCTCGTTTACTGCTGGTGGGGGTG